ACAGAATTGACCTCTCTACAGATTTATTATAAGTATAGATATAGACAAGTAAGCAAGTAAGTGTTAAATATTGGCCATGGCTTGTATCCGAAACCATAATTGTTGACGGTTGTCATGGTGATTTAAAAAGGTTAAAAATAATAAAGACTTCAAAATTACAGTGTGGTGTTTATCTGTGGTGCTGTTTCAGCGGCCAAACCGTAAGAGATAGATAAAGAGAATATGTAAGTTATAAGTTAAGAATAGTCTGATAAGACTACAAACCGGATTTGAGTAACGTAGCACTTCCGGTTTTCGAGAAATCAGGTTTTGGTGAACATTTGGTTCACTGGTTTGCTAGTTTCTTAAAATCTGGCTACCGTGACAGGATTTATTTCTTAAAAGTAAGGGACAAAAATCAAAACACAAAACTGACGTTGACAGTTGTCACGGGCGTACTGAGTTTACAAGAATGTCACTCGTCACACTCACGCACATGCACACACATGCACACACACGAACACGCACACACACATACACACGCATACAGACACACACTCAACCGCTTATATAAATTGTAATTTATATATTTTTTATTTTTTTACAATGTATTAAAAATCCAATGAAAAGACCTTACCATAAGAAATATTAATGATGCTATGGAAGAGTGGTTCCTTCTGGTACAGGTGTTAAACACTTAATAGAAGGAACCCACCCTGGTTTGATGTAAAACAAATTTGGTACCGTAATAAACTTTTTTGATTTTTTGATTTGATGTCTTACGGAACGATTAGTAATGGCACGCTAGTTTGATTAAAAATTAAGTAAATACTAAATGTTTCGAAAGGAGATTGCTCAAATTGGCCCAAATGAACAAAAAATATTGACATACACGGTTATTCTTGGCGTAAATTATAATTTAATTTACAGTCATTAGATTTCAACGGACACCTTTGTATAATTATATTTACTTTAAAAAGGACTTTTCATTTTACCGGTTTGGAAAACATACAAATTCACAATCATCACACAGTTTCTGTCACAGAGTACCTTATTATAACCGGAAATGACATCTGATTTTAAAAGTTACTCTTATGCATTAACTTTAAAAACAGGCAAGTATCTGTTAATCTACATGCTCTATATACCTGAATCTAATCCATAATTTCGGTACTTGGCTTGATTTCCCTAGTTTACTATATAACTTATTTGTTTTTGAAGTTATACTTCTTTAGCCGCGTTATGAAAAAATTATGAGAGTGAACTTCTTTAGCCGCGTTATGAAAAAAATATGAGAGTGAAATGAGTGCGCGCGCATCACTGTAACACAAAAGTAACATAATGAAGTTAGCCGCGGGCGCGTTGTGAAAAAATGATGAGAGTGAAATTTTAAGATGCGCGCGCAACACTATAACAGAAAAGTAACACCATGAAGTCGGCCGCTAAACCGCACATTACTCGTAAGTCTCGAAAAAAAGCTTCCAACAAAATAGTAATAGGATCTCTTAGTCGCACATGTTGGGACGCTCGTCGCCTCTGATCACTGTTTTCATATTTATAATATTTATCCACATGTTTCTAGTTTCTATATTCTTAACACGTGTTATAATGTTATACAAATGCGAAATTTATATGTGCTAATAAATTTTATTCAGTAGTGATTTAAATTGAATATTTTGATTATTTATTAAATTTTTCAAATTAAAACTGAACTTTATTGACTGCGTTGACTATCCTTTTCCAATCCTTATATTATCTTATTGTAATTAATTATCTGCATGCAATTAAAAACTATTTTTTAATAATTCCAAAAAGAAGTATAACTTCTCACGCGCGTACTTAAGTACACGCACCCATTTTTTTTTATTATTTTAATATGTTCAGTGTATATGGTTTATAGAAGTTCTCAGGGGTGTCCGTCAATAATATTCGTTTCTACAGTAATTTATATATAATTTCGAATCTAGGAAACAATTTTTCATGATTATTGGTTTTTACGCCAAACATGTATGGAAGCTGAGCAATCTCCTTTCACTAAGAAAAAACTTAGGTTTATTAAAAAGCTATTTAACAAAGCAAGTTTCGTGTTTATAGTCATACAAGTATTCAAGCTAATTATTTAATTCTTAAGTAAAAAAAAAAACGACGGTTTGCACTCCGGGAGTGCCGGCAAAAGTGAAAACTTGAATATTAACGTTGTGCATTTTTGATATTTTGGAATGGTTAGGGAATAATTTTGCACGAATTGCTTTAATTATCAGTATAAAAGTACTATCATTTATGTGGTACAATATACAATATTTATTTATTGCGCTATCGTACACAAACATGACAATTTATATTACATTAAAAAGTTTATCTCTCAAAAAATCAACTTACATGAATCACATTTAAGCGCACCTAGCGACATCTATTGAAAAAAAAATCATTTTCTTCGCAATAAACCTGCCACCTGGACGTCCTAATTAGAGAACTAATAATATAATACCATAAAATAAAATATTACTATGTTTCGTCCAATATTGAAAGTCAACAATCTTTCCAATTTTATTGTGTTCGTCTTACGAACGTGACCACGTGACCTAGTCAGGACTGACGCGATCAGGCCACGTGTCATGACGCGAGTTTAACAGTTTTTTTTACCCATTACAAAAAAAGTGTACAACGCCGCTAAAGAAGTTTTCACTGCAATATCCACCATTCTTAAAGACAAAATCTATCGAAAAAAATTTTGGATAATCATGTTTACGGGCTAGTAAAAATTTAGCTTAGGTACTGAAGATATATATAGAAATCTCATACACAGCATCTATACAGGTATTCTATTAACAGCGTCCAAGATGATGGCTTGACTGCCTACAGCGCTTTAACAAGAAAAATGTCCTATCTATACTTATAATAAATCTGTAGAGAGGTCAATTCTGTACATGAAATATATTTTCAAAATAACTATCAGGGGGTGATTAGTGATCGATACTGATGCCAAAACTGCAATCGGTAAAATTTTTGTCTGTCTGTATGTGTGTATGTTCCTTATAGAAACAAAAACTACTCAACGGATTTTAACGAAACTTGGTACAATTATTCTTCATACTCCTGGGCAGGTTATAGTATACTTTTCATCACGCTACAATCAATAGCAGCAGAGTAGTGAAGGGAAATGTTGGGAAAACGGGAGAAGTTACTCCATTTTTTAAGCTTCCGTCGCGTGTGCAGCCTTAATGGTTAAAGTTACATAGAAATCATGTATGACGGAAATATTCTACATAAAATTGTCTAAAAAATATCCCGCAACAGCGTATGTCTATCTTTTATGGTTGACTCACAATAACACGTGTAATTATATAAATAAAGTCATTGTTTATAGCACAAGCCTGAGAACAAAAACTATAGTTTACACTTCAGCTCTACACCGAAGCGAAGCGAGGGCGGGCCACTAGTAGATAATAATAATAATAGCTCACCAAGTACCTGGACTTGGCCAACGAGGTAACAGTTTTGTGGGATGTGGATTCGACGATCATTGTCCCTATAGTCGTTAGTGTGAACGGTCTCATAGCGAAGAGTCTCGATCAACATCTGAAGAGTCTATCGCTAGATGGTTGGGTCAAGGGGCAGATGCAAAAGGCAATACTCCTGGACACAGCGCGCATCGTCAGGCGGTTTCTTTCTCTGCGGCCCTAACCACCGGTAGCTTGGGCCTAGCTCCGCTGCTACTAGGTTAGGTTTTTTATAGTATCTTAATTTTTGTATTTACGTTTTTGTATTTCACTTTTATATCTGTTTTATAAAAAACCTGACTATGAAATAAGGTAAATGAGATAATAATAATATATAAGGTGGAAATCATCTTACATAAGATGTGGTATCTGATGCCTGAAATAGGCATGGCAATACATTTAGTAACATCAGTACAAATATCTTCTAAAGAAAGAGTGTGTTTATGACCACACGACTGAAGTGAAACTTCTATTGCTCCATCTGTATGTATATCATCATCATCAGCCTATTAATGTCCCCACTGCTGGGGCACAGGCCTTTCCTATGGATGGAATAGGGAGATTGGGCCATGACCCACCACGCGGGCCCAGTGCGGATTGGCGGGTGCTAACGACTGCAGATGCAGCCGACGACCAACGGCTTAACGTGCCTTCCGAAGCACGGAGGAACTCGAGATAGTAAATTTTTGGTCACCCATCCAATGACCGACCACTGCGAAAGTTGCTTAACTTCAACGATCGCAGCCGAACGCGCTAACCACTTGTATATATCTATATGTGTACAATATATACATAGTTCTTTACTAGCTATAAGAGAAAGGGAGAAAGAAAATGTGCCCGCGCACTGCTTTCTCTTGCTTATATCCCCCACTGAACTCCTTTCCCCCCCCTCACACTTTTCGTAACGCGTTCGCCAGCTTACTCCCCAAGTCAAGTGTGCCTAAAGAAGTTCCACTTCAGAAATGGAGCCGGATCTCATTGTTAAAAGCTAAACACGGTACTCGGTAGGCTTGTTGAAAATATATCGATGTATCGATATTTTTTGTTCGATATATCGATATTTTTTGCCGATATATTTTGATTCGATATATCGATACATCGATACAAAATAACCAATATCGAAATTCGTATCAAAAACGATATATTTTTTTTATTATTAGCGGCATATCAAGATCTAACTAAATTCGTATCTGGAAAAATCGTAACTGGATCTCAGATTAATGATATACAACATATCTATGATCTGTGCGATATTTAGTATTGTCTATGTCATCATTCGAAAATAGGGTCTATTTTTAGGGAGATAATTTTCGTTCCATTATTATTCCGCGTGTCATATTTCGTGAGCGATATTTTTGGGAAAATTGGTCCGATATATCGATATTTTTTTCGCGATATATCGAAGCCGATATCGATATTTTTTTCAACTTTCGACATCCCTAGTACTCGGTATTGATAACGATATTGTTATGATACTTTTTACACGTTCTTATATTTATCGGCGTTGTGTTTTTGTTACAGCCGGTGTTCAGTCATGCCCCATCGAACTTATCAGCGATATCAAACAGCACCCATTCCAGGCTATCAGTGAGTATGAAATAACAAATACACTTTTTTTTGTTGTACTTAATAAAAATAATATTTAATTGTGGCGAACCGACCACAACCACAAAACGCCGCCACCGGCATATTTCTTGTAGTTTTCATACATTTTATATGGACTCGCCGGTACACACACGGTACGCCGGTGGCCGCCACACGCTACAAATCGTCGTTGCTCGCTTCTTGTGGCCCGCACCGGCCACTTAAAGCGCCGATACAAAACGCCGCCACACGTCACTCGCGCGATTCCCCACCCCTCTCTCCCTTACCTTAGTCGGCCGCTGTCGCGCGCTTCAGCCACTTTAGTAGCCGCTTCTAGCTTCTCGTGGCGGCGCACAGTGGTTCAGATTTTGAATATAGTGGTCGTAGGACTCAAGGTTAATATATCGCGCTGAAAAAATTCATGCGGACAGATAAGTGAACGCTCATCAACTTTTGTTCTAGCAGTTTTCATGTAATCGTATATTTTCGCGAAAAAAAAATATTTAAGAAAAAAATGTATGGAGCAAAACTGAAATACTTTTTTTTCTCGAAATGTTTAAAAGTGTTAGCAATGAAACCATTTGTAAATTATTGTATTACATTTATTTATTAATTTCACCGACAAATCTTTTGCATGCACTTGCAGCTTTGGCGTTTATGTGCAGTTTTACTTAAAATATATTATATATAAAAAATTACATGGAATCAATACTTTTTTAGTCTGTTAAGTGGTTTTGGGAAAGTATAATACTAATATATAATTGTCTATATCAACACATACATCAAATTACAAAATAAAATCATTATTGAAAATTGTTTATTGCATAATTTTTACAATAGAATGTAACCATCGAAGGTGGTTTATACTTTTAATTTCAAAAATTATAAATAAGTACACTTAAACAAGAATAATAAAAACATAATAACATGGTACAAGTAAACTAAACATACAAAATAATACAAAGTAATAAATTAATATAAGAAAAGTTAAAAATCATTCCAAAGGATCTGGCACATTTTGTGGAGCTTCTATTTCTTCATCTTCAACTTTTATTATTTCTTCTGTTATTAATAACTGCAACGCTTCTGGAAACAAACTTAATGATTTAAAATTGGCATATTTAGATTTCAGATGAGATATATATGGATCCGAAGATATCAAAAAATTGTGTATAATATCTTCATTATTTTGAAATCTTCCTGTTTTTCTCGTGTGGCGCTCTCTAGTATTTCGGAAGTCCTTATTTCTTGCTTCTGCTGCTTCTTCTGACAAAATTCCTATGGGAACACAAGAGAAATGTTTGCATATGTCTGCGCCATGTATCAGCATTGTATACGATGGAAGGCATGTTGTACCAGGGGTAGTGATGTACAAAGAGTTCAGCAGTCTTCTTGTAGTATCCACGGAATCAATCGATATTGACAGCCTTTCCAGAAGATAGCACTTGCAATATGACTGCGAAGTGTTTTATCAAATCAGCATCAATCTTTGTTATTTGAGCTGTCTTTTCGTATTCTCGGAAAAATCTTCTAGCCGTGTTCCTATCATTTGTAGTTCCAAAGCCCTGCTTCACAAGATCAATCAAAAGTCCCATCTGTTGTTTGAACTCCGATTGCGCCATGTTCTTTCGAAACTTATTACTTCACTCCATGCTAATCGTAATTATTGTCGTCACTTTCCCATCAATCATTGTCATGTGTAGATCATGAGTAACTTCCAAGTTTCCGCAACTTGAAACAGGCAAATTTTGTATTTCTTCCTCATTGCCGCTTGTTCTTGCTTAACAAAGTCAGTTATTTCCTCCGCAAACTGTAATTTAATAGGTCTGGAATAAAACGTTGAAGATGGCTTTGGATTATCTCAAATAACAATATTTTCGGCCTCTAGCTTCAGGGGAACGAGGCTCGTCATGAACAGAGGAGTCGTCGAATTCTGCCATTTCACTTCTTTGCTTGTAGTTGCTCTGTGCTGAAGATCCATCAAATCTCCATTTGCTGGTCAGCTTCAAGCTTCCACTGGAAATATTTAAATCATCACCAACGACTTGCAAAATCCTTCGAGTTGTGACATCTAAAAGTGCTTGTAGTTTCACCTTCGCTCCATCTTCTGATATTATAATATCTCTGGCATCTGGAAAACACACCTTTTCTTAGCTTCTAACAACTTGCGGTAAGACGGAAGCTTCAACTGTTGTGACAATGCAAACCTTAAAGTGAGGTACTTCCACTTTGAAAGATACAATGAAGTTGTAGCAGCAAACAATAATAACACAACACAGAAGTTAATCCTTTTATTCAACATCACAACATACTGAAATCTACATTCGCCAAAAAGTAGTTAGGGCAAAAACTTGATCTTCTTGCATAGTCTCCATCTTTTCGTTCATAAATAAAAATGATTCGACAACTCCAACCTTTTCAGGCTTCTTCATAAGATGATCGATGATGCGAGCAAGAACTTATTTTCCATTAGACTTTAGTTTTGTGAAAAAAGCAAAAGTCAGTTCCTCTTCCGGATAGTCAAGTAATGTACCCGATCGCCTTTTCTTTTGCTTGTTTCCTAGGTCTTCAAATGGCTTTCTTGATACAATATCTGCAGAAGTGCCCATGTCAATAGTCGCCTTCAAAGTAGATGCAAAGGGTAAAACAGCTGCTTCTTCTGTGGAACGATGATCCAAATTTTCGACCTCTTCAAAAATGTCGGAGAGATTCACGGATTCGCATTTAGGCCACTTAATTCTTGTTTCTAACCAGCTCATATGCTTTTTCATGAATGTTTTTTGCACCCTGTGTGCTTCGGTCCATCTACGATTTAAGTTGACAGTGAGAGATCTTGCAAAATTCTAAATGTTTTTCAGAATCTTCTTGCGAAATTTCAAGCAAAATGCAGTCCATAATTGCTTGATGCAGTCATTTGTAGTCCTTGTAAGTACCAAATCCAGCCATGATTAAGTAGGTAGTTTTCTTCAGGTTAAAATTTCCAGGTATGTTGACTCTTCAAGATTTAAATGTCTATTGACGCTCCAGCCGGACCTCCCACCTGTTTTATTTCGGTCTTAACGAGAAAGAGATAGCATTAGTAGAAAATGAAAGAGAGCAATATTAGGCAATGGGAGGGGGAAATTAGCAGCCAATACGTCATTCGGTCACTAACTGCGCTTTGGGTAACAGCGATATCCACTAAGAAGTAAAATATAAAAATAATTTGTATCTATTTTTCGAAATCATTTTAATTTAGGAAATAATGCATTTTAAAGTTTATAATATTGAAAATATACGAAAATTATGTTACTATAAATGATTAAAAACGTTTTAATGACACAAATAGTTAAAATTAAAAAAATTAAAATTCTGATGCCTATTTCGGCCAAGGCTGCAAGTGCATGCAAAAGATTTGATGGTGAAATTAATAAATAAATGTAATACAATAATTTACAAATAGTTTCATTGCTAACACTTTTAAACATTTCGAGAAAAAAGAATATTTCAGTTTTGCTCCATACATTTTTTTCTTAAATATTTTTTTTTCGCGAAAATATACGATTACATGAAAACTGCTAGAACAAAAGTTGATGAGCGTTCACTTATCTGTCCGCATGAATTTTTTCAGCGCGAAATATTAACCTTGGGTCCTACGACCACTATATTCAAAATCCGGACCACTGTGCGGCGTTTGTGGCTGTGGGATCTGAAAGAGTTTACTAGTGTCAAAAATATACACGTTATCATACATTATCCCACAGCTGGGACACAGGTCTTCCCTATGGATGGAATAGGGAGAATGGGCCATGTCCCACCACGCGGACCCAGTGCGGATTGGCGGGTGCTAACGAATGCAGATGCAGCCGGGACCAACGGCTTAATGTGCCTTCGTAAGCACGGAGGAACTCGAGATAGAAGAGTTTTGGTCCCTATCCAATGACCGACAAGTGCGAAAGTTGCTTAACTTCAACGTTCGCTGCCGAACTGCGCCATTAAGTAATCTTATCCGAAACAGAACCATATCGCGTTTCACCATGCATCAACGCCATCTATGAGAGATATTATAAAGTAATTTAATATTTTAGTTTGTGTTTATTACATCTTTTATCGTTTTACATTTACATTTATTCTTTAGTATATTACCTACTATAGTTACAAAACTTAAACATTCGTCACCTTCAAACTTTGGTATTATGACAGAAAATTATTTTGACACAATTCTCGCCATTTTTGTCGTATTTTTTTTATGTTTTTATCTATTTTTAAGCATTTAACTGCTAGATGTTTAAATCTAAAGAAAAGTTTACTAGAAAAAAGCATCTAGCAGATAAAACTATAATTGCTATTTCTTCTTTCAAATGTATAATACTTGAATAAGTATTCATTTGACATCGTAGGTTACCTACAATGCGAAGCGATGGCGCTGCCTTGCAGCTTAAGGCTAGGAAAATTTCAATGCGGCTAATAGGGCCGTGGTAGCATAATGGTCAGTGCATTCGCCCGGATTGCGAAGAGTGCGGGTTCGAGTCCCGTCCGCTGCCTAGTCCGCGTGGATTTTTTTCTAATAAACCTTTCTTTAGGTATATTTTTTTTTACATTTTATCAACAAATTGATATTTTTTAAAGTTATTCGAACTATCGAGATTTCTGCAACACCACTACTCACTAAGCTGTGGTATATCATGATCTTATCAATAACCCATTCCCATTACCTGTAAACTAAGCATAGGGCTTTGTCTGCGTACAAAGGATTCCTGACACAATCGACAAGGGGGATTACAACGATAGAAGACCCTGGGGTTCCATTCTGAATCATTCGAGTTATGATTAACCTATAAATTGTTTTAAACTTCATAATCAAAAAGTGTCGTTCCGCGATCTGATACTGTGAGTATTGTGTGCCGGGAACCTTAGATTAAAACAAAAAGGGTAGATACGGTACGCTCATACTTGCATCAAACAAATACTGATCCCACGGCAGCGCGAACGGGACGGCGAGATCCGCGTCACTGCATTACCGA